AAAAAGCCTCTCTCTTTGGTGGTGGTGGTGGTGGTGGTGGACACAGGTCGGTGGCCTGTTGTGAAATCTCAGACCTGACCCGTTCAGCCTCCACAAAGAAATCTGCCCATCTGCTGGCAGCACGAGCACTTAGGAGCTGGGAGCAGCCATGCAGTGCCATGAGCCCCATCCACTGCCCCACGCCTCCCTGGAACGCAGCCAGCACCAGCAGAGAAAGGGTCATGGCTTGCCCGATGATCATCCTGAACAACGGGATGGGGGAGTGCTGAGGAGCCCATGGCATTCAGAGCTGAGCTGGAGCTTTGTTACTCTCTACACAGCCCCTTGTGCACGCGGGCAGCCTGCTTAGGAGAAGGCCACAAGCGAGCAGCTGAGATGGCAGCTTTGTGTTACCAGCCGTACCTGTGGCTTTGCACCTGTGGCTTGCAGGGAAAAGGCCTGTTTCTGTTGCTGTCCTGGGAGACAGAGCATGGAGGTCTCCATCTGGCATGCTCTCTGTGTCTGTCCCTCCTGCCCTACTGTCCTCGGCTGGAACGTTGAGCCAGACCAGTTCCCCCAAGCCTGCTCCTCCTTGCATCCCGTGTGCCTGCTGGATGACTGACTGCTATCCCTGCCTGCTGCCAGACCCCCTCCGCCATCTCTTTTCCACCCTTTTTTGACTAATGTGCTGTCTGCGCTGCCACCATGCATTTAGAGTTAGCAACAGGAGCTGTCTCGGTGGCAGGACCGGTCCTGCACAGTGCTGGATCCGGGCCACTGGTCTCTCTTAGTCCATGTGGGTGCTGGCCAATCTCCATCCCTTTTATGCAGCCTTCAAAGAAGTGAAGTCCTGCAGGGTCAGGCTGTGCGTGGCTTTCTGAGTGTTGAACAGTCGTCGCCCTGTACAAATGTACTAGTGGGCTTTTGTAGATAGAGCCCCCTGTACTAGTGAAAGGGTCCAGCTCCACAGCTGGAGGTGTCTGGCAGGTGCCTCCTGTCTGGTGTTGCAGCAGGACTCAGACCAAGCTAATGGGAAGGGATTCAATGTCTCCTCTAATTTTTCTGTAGGTCTTTGTGCCCTCTCTGTCCCTTCCACTGTGCAAACCTCACCCCACGGAAATGCATCTGCACAGCTAGTTGTGAAACAGGTGCTATAGCTATACTGAGAATGACCTCACTTTGCATTTATAGGAAAAGCTTGGATCCCCAAGCACAAGCCGATGGATCCTGTTTTGGAAAGTGTGACTCTGGAGCCGGAACTGGAGGAAGCCCTTGCTAATGCCTCTGATGCAGAGCTCTGTGACATTGCTGGTAAAATAGTTTCATGTAAATTGGGGGTTCAAGTTATGTGACCACTAGTTTCTTTTTGTTTGTTGTTTTGTGGGAAATGAGCTATTGAGCTTTTTGCTGTTTATCTGAACGCTGTCAGTTTTGACAGGATTTATTTCTTTGTTAAAAAAGAAGTGTATGTTTAAAGTTACTCTCAACCCATGTAATTTAATCAGGAGCATGGACCAAAGCTGAGGAGTGAGAAGAAGGATTTATCAAGGGAACAGAGTGTGCTTTTTTGAGCTTTTCTCCTGTCTCTGCCACTGAATCTTGCAAATTGCAGGCTGTCACCTTCAGGAGCACAGCTTTTTTCAAGCCAAACCTCTAGGAAACAATCAAGCAGATCCATTGAGAATGTGGATTTGTTGTGCAACCTGTTGAAGGAGATGTCTGGTTAGAGCAGTCTTTCCACAGATCCTCCTTGTTAAAGAGCTTTTCCAACACATTTTAAAGCTACAGATTTCTTGCGATTTGTGCAGTAGGTTGGTTTTGTGAGTGTTAGCTCAGGGGTGGGGGAATCCAGCATTAAAAGGCTGATGTACTTCACGATGACTGAGAAGCAGGTTGGAATGCAGAGTGAGCTGGAGAGGGGGACAGAGCAATTGCAGGTGCTGTTCGAGCCCCGAAAGTGTGCTCTTCACCAGGCTAAACAAGCTCCGTGCAAACCAAGAAGGACAGGCGTGGTCCCCATCCGAGGGCTTTACGCCTCCATGCTAGGTAAGTTCAAGCAGTGTCCCATTGCTGCTTTTCAGGCAGTGTTGTCTGAGTGGAGGCGACCCCCTGCAAGCCTCATTGCTTTCCCACTTTAAAGATGACAATATCAGTATCTTGCTGAAGCCAGCTGCCTGGGATAGGATATGCCTTCGCCAGAGGAGTGTATGAACCCCTCCTTGGTGCCTTATCGAGCTCACGTGTCCACTGCTGGTCTAGCAGTTGATGAATATTTCAGTGCTACTGGCTTCTTCCAGTTCTGTCTGCTTCAGACTTCCACACTCCCTAGCAGTATCCTCTTTGCCAGAAGTCTGTACAATAGACTGTAGAATAACCACACCAACTAGACAACTTCTACATAATAATATCATATTCTGGCTTAGAAATGTGTCTCTGCATTAAGGCTTCCAACATAAGTACCCTGTCCAAGCATTGCATCTCTGGAGTTTGTTTTTTTTTACTTCACTCCTAGAGTCCTATAAAGCCCTATCCTACAAATCTGCCTTTCTAAGCTCCAGGTCCATGCTGCAGTTATTCTCACAGAGAAATGCTTTTTGGGGCAGCTTGTTCTGCAATTGTTGGTGGAATACACTTGAAGTGGCAGCAGGAGAACTGATGTGATACAAGCTGTGCTGAAATCTCAATATTGACAGTGACAGCATTGCTCCTGCCTCTTTAGCAGGGCTTGTTGTCAGCCATGGTATATTGGATCCCTTCCTTGGCAAGGCCAGTGGGATAGCTCTTGTGGGTGGCTCCCAACAAGTACTGGAAGGGCTCCCGTGCTTTTGTTCAGCTGGGGGAGGCAGAAATGGGATGCCTTCATTCTGCTTCAGTTCCTTTGGATAATGCACAGTATTACATCAGACTTACTAACAGCAGGTCCCTCTTCTCTACCAGCAAAACTCGAGTCCCAAAAACCCCTGTGTGGTCATAACAGCAGATCCTTCCCCCTGTCTGCAGTCCAGATCTTCACAGTCCTTGTTGGTGTAGAGATTTCATTGTCAGAGTAAGCTGTGTTTGGGGTCTGTGTGTGTCCCCAAAATGCTGAGCCTGCAAATTACTTTTCCGAGCTCTGTTACACTCCTGAATATTTCAGCTATGAGTACATGGCAGAGAAGAGGGACAGCTAAAATACAAACAACCAAATTCAAAGTGCCGAACCTCACTCAGACTTTCAGATGGAAACTGCTTGGCTCTGTGCAGTCCAACTGGGGATCTGCTGGGCAGGGTCGGGGGAAGTGGATGGTGGTATTTGTTGACACCCTTTGCTGCAGGCTGTCCTGCCTGTGCATCCCAGACCTGGAGTCACAGTGAGCTGTCACCATAACAGATGCCATTTGTGTGATGGGTCTCAGGGATAGACTTCTCCAGCTCCCAGCCCTTCTTGGCCAAAGCACTGAGCAAATGGTGATGGACTGGTACCAACCAAACATAAGAGGGGCAGCTCATGGGAAAGCAAAGTGCCTTTGTGGTGGCATGCTTGAATTTTAGGGAGAGATTTGTTCTTTATTTATTTTAACAACTGTGCCCATCCAGAGGTTAAGATTTGTTCAAATGTGTCTGTTTATAACAAGTATTCATGTGTCTGCATTTTTCTGTAGAAAGGCATACAATTATTTAAATTAAAAAAAAAATAAAAAATTAAACCCCAGTTTGTTTTCAAACATGAACTTTCTGTGAGTAGCAGAGTTATTTTTATAAACAGAATCTTTGCCTAAATCTTTCTAAGCCATTGGCTTCCTACTGCTCATTTGCAGCTGGCAAGAATGTCAGCAGATCCCCATGGGCATGTTTCAATGGGCATTTGCATATTGGTTTTGCAGTCATGAGCCTGAGATACACAGATTGGCAGAAGTTTGGCTTTTGGGCTCTTACAGTCTGAAATTTGTTCATACCATCACTTTGTGCATTTTGACCAAGCCAGCAGAGCTTCACCTTCTCGCAATGTCAGCTTCCAAGTGTACAAAGATCAATTCAAAGCACACCACCACCACCACCACCACACCACCCCTGCTTGTTGAGTAAAAACATGATGTGTGTTGCCATGTTTCGGATGACAGTCACCTCAAATGTTGCTCTCTGAGGGGCAGGTTTGGTTCTGTGTGGGGCACAAATGATCTCAAAAACTGGACTGTCGCAGTGTGTGGCCCATGCCCAGGTGAGCAAGGATGATGAGGATGTACAGGCTCCTGCTGGACTGAACCCCTTGGATTAAATCCTACCAATGGCATTTTTTTGTCTTTTATTGTCTTCCCCTTACCATTTTTGCATGATGCTGCATCAAGTTGGCTACTGGGAAGCCTTGTCTCTTTGTTGTCCGCAAGGTGATGTTGCTCTCCTCCTGTGAGCCCTGTTGTTTATTTATGACAGCTGGAGGGCTTGGTCTCACCTTTGTATGTTGTTCTGTGCTTGCACAGGGAAAGGTAATGTGCTACGGACCCCCATCCCAGGCAGCATGGCATGTATGTGTCTTTTCCTGGCTTTGGAGCCTGCAATAACTCAAGTCGTATTCTCCTTTTCTTTTTCTGTAGCCATCCTTGGCATGCACACCTTGATGAGTAACCAGCAGTACTATGAAGCACTGGGGAGCAGCACCATCGTGAACAAAGAAGGGCTCAACAGTAGGTGATTTAGAGCATTATCAGGCTGCAGTTTTTTGCTTTGAAGCTGCTAGCAGAGGTGAAGTGGGAATTATTTTTAGGCTGAAGGTTGGAGCTATGAATGTCAGAGCAGCCTGTGATTGCTGGGGCCATCTCTGGTGCACCCTTGCCCTGCGCGAGCGAGCGCAGTCTCGGTCGCTGCCCTGGCACCATCCGGGAGCTAGCAGAGCCCAGGGAACAGCCCCACACAGGCATCACCCCGTTTTGGACTCTGAGGGCACATAGCAGCAAGCACCGTCTGTCCTGTGCTGGTTGGCCCCAGTGCCAGGCAGCATTTCTGGATGCATGTGAGCGTAGGTGGAGCTGATGAGTGCTTGTTCAGACTCGCATCTTGTGTCTGTTTGTCAGATTGCGCTTCCTTTTCCTGTCACTGCTTCTGGAAGAGAAGAAACACACCCTAAGAGAACATGCTGCTGCTCAGGGTGCTTTTGGTTTCACATACCTTGCTTTTCACTTGCAGGTGTGATTAAGCCCACACAGTACAAACCAGTTCCTGATGAGGAACCGAACTCAACAGATGTGGAGGAAACTCTGAAACGAATACAAAGCAATGATCCTGACCTTGAGGAAGTCAACCTTAACAATATTATGGTATTTGCTCCTTTCTACTCTTCTCTCTTAATAACAGGACCAAACATTTGATACATGGAAGGCAGAGACCAAGTCTGTTTTGCTGCACAGAGTAATACTGCAGCACTGCATGTAGTGAGTCAAGAAACACCAGTGCTTTCCATCTCCATTTTGGGCAACAGGGGTTGTTACCTGCTGTCGGTCAACAGTGTGGGCTTGGTGGCAGGAGGACTCCTGTAGATGCCTGGAAGAGTGGAACTGTGTTGAGGGTAGTTTGGGACTCCTGTCTCCAGCCTGTCTAGGCATTCTAGGTTGCTTCAGTGGTTTAGTCAGCCACATTTGGTGGAGGGGCTGTTCATGTAAGATAAAATGGTGGGAGGAAAAAGACTTCATAATCCTGACAGTTGGCATGAAAATATGAAGAAACCTCCTTTCTTGCAGCTAGCCCTGTCCATCTCCCACCCATCCCTTCTATGGGACTCTTTCACTTCTTGTAGAAAGCAAATCAGGATGCAGCACCACTTCTTATGTTGCCTCTGGGACACATACACATACTAAAAAATACAATTTCCATCTATGCTCCCTGACTCCAGGACCCCCATCCCATGGGGTCTGTTGAATGATGACATCCTCACATAGCAAGAACATGGCTGACTGCACTGGCACGTTAAAAACACTTGTGCCATGCCACCTGCACTTTTCTAGAATGAAAAGATTTTTACTTTCATGTATTTGATTGTGTCTAGTGACCCTGAATGTCCCTTGAGGACACCAGGCTGAGGATCCGGCTGGCTTTTTGTGTGTTGGACTGATGACTTTGGGATACAGTTTGGAGGACTAGGGAGTGGCAGTGGAGATGGTGAGCTGCTGGGCTCTGTGTTATGGCTCTGCAGATGTCTGACTGTAGATGATTCCACGTGGTGGCATCCAAATAGTGTGGCAAGAAGTCCAAGCTGACAGTACCACTTAGAATTTTAGACTGGTGAAAATTTGTGCATCTGAAAAGGGTATCATCTTGGTAAGTGCTTGGTGAGTGAAAAATACTCATTTTGTGAGAACTCAGCATAAGCAGCATGGATTTATTTTCTGGGCTGAGACCTAGCATGGCAAATGTTAGCCTGAAAGATGTATAAAGCAGGCAGAGGTGTCTGTGGTTTGTTCTACAAGATTGTTTCGGGTCTTTCTGCATCAGGCCCTGTAGGTGGAAATTTTCCTGAACATTATATGAATAATGCTCAGTGCTGTCATTTGTATTAAAAAGCGCAGAAGTGCTTTGTAGGCTCATAGATCCTAGTTACATACATCTCCACAACGCCTGTGTTCATAAGTAGCTGCGTTTCTGGGCAATTAAATTAAACAGCAGAGCCATTGTAGCTTCAAATCAAGGCAGTGAGCTGTTAGAAGTGTGGGAAATAGGATGAAGACCTTGCCATGCTCCTGAGGCCATGTTGATTATAGCAAGAGAATTTGTAAAAACATTTATCAACCCCTTCTTAAATTACTTCAGTGCATTTGGTGATTTGACCTTGATAAGAAATTTAAAGTATGGTTTTAATGAATTGCATATTCCTTCATACAGATGATGGCCTAACACAGGTTTTCTGCATTTCTTTTCACAGAATATTCCCATACCAACTTTAAAAGCTTTTGCGGAATCACTGAAAAATAACACCTATGTGAAGAAGTTCAGTATAGTTGGGACACGGAGCAATGACCCTGTTGCTTTCGTAAGTACCGTCAGCTCATCGTCATAAAGTTGTGACAGGAGCTGCTCGTGGGTAAGTTATTTTGGGGGTTACTGACTGACTGCTTTTGCACCTTATGTCGCATTTGGCACGTTCTGCACCTCTGGCGTTTGGTGGAGGTGACTCAGTTTCAGGAGTGCTAGTGAAAGCCAGCAACAGACAGGCTTTGCTTCCTTTGCTTCCTTCTTTTGGCTGTGGAGATTTCAGGACACAATCCTTTAATCCCACTCAGTCTCATATTTGTCTTCAAGGATCTCATGGAAAAGGAGTGGGAGACAAGAACTGACTGCCTAGTGGTGTTTTGTAAAAGCAATCTGTCTCTTGGTTAATCTTAGATGAGGGGCATTCCATTTGTTTTAGCTATACGCTGCTGTGTGCATACCTGTCCCTCCCCTTGCAGGTGTCTGCTCTGGCTCTCTTTCATATATTCCTTTGTGCTGACCTCTGCAGAAGCAGGAATCTGCTTTTCTTATGTGTGGCTTCTGTGGGTGATAAAGGCTCTTTCTGGCTATTGCAAGCAGTCTTAAATATCAGTGAAGATGCAGAGAAGTGCTGAGCATTCTGCCTGGCCCTCCTGCTACCTTCCAGACTGCATCTTTCCACACTCCTCCAGCACCATTGGAGCCCATTTCTGCTCCTCTTCACCCAGGCCACGCCTGCCTCCCTGCCTCCACACATAGGTGCACACCAGCTTCCTTATAGAAAAAAACTTCTTTTTGGGGGGCAAGTACAGCCCTCACATTATTTCAGGCACTCTGGACTGGGGAAGAAGCCTGTGCAGGCAGCACTGGTGCTGTTTGAGGGCCTGTGGGGCACTGTACAGGGCTAGGGGAGCTGTGGAGCCAAGTGCTGTATCAGTGGGTGCAGGTCAGCCCTGCCATTTGGGCATCACCATCTGGTCCTTTCATGACCTAGACCAGTCCTCCCATGGAGCTTAAGAAATGAGATCATCAGATCAGGTCAGGGGGGTTGGGAGTCTGCCAGCCCACTTTTGGTCTTGCCCACTGAGGGAAGCAAAAGTGATTAATAGGGTTGTGATGCCACTTGGGAAGACATCTTGGGATGTGAAGAATCCCTTGTTCTTCAAGACAGATGCTCCTCTGTCTGCCTGCTGTGATGGGAAGCATCTCAGCCCTGTGCCGAAGGAGCACTGCAGGCAGGGAGCTGATCAGGCATGAGGTAGGGCCGATGCTGGCCAGCATCCCTGCCATCAGCATGCTGGCTTTAGAAGAGGCACAGATGAAGTTGTCATGGGGCAGCTGCAGGTGTGGACCATCATCCTTTGGGGTGGCCCTAAGGGTTTGTCCATATGAGGTTTTGCTGTGGCCTCCAGCGTGCTCACATTCACAAATCCCCGGGCAACAGGGGGGGGAACGACCTTCCCCCTGGACAGACCTCTCACATCTGGTGGCTGTGAAACCGCTCAGCACGTGGGGTCCTCCCAGTGTCCTCCAGAAGCGAGGGGAGTTGAACCCCTGCTGCTCTGGGATGCTCTGCCCCTGCCTATCTGACTGCCCACCTCTGCCCGCAGGCATTGGCAGAAATGCTGAAAGTCAATAACACACTGAAGAGCCTGAATGTGGAATCAAACTTCATTTCTGGGTCAGGGATCCTGGCTGTTGTCGAAGCGCTCCAGGGCAATGCATCACTCGTAGAGCTGCGCATCGACAACCAGGTAAAGCAGGAGCTCTGATTAAGTGAACGTGTCCTGGTTGTGGGAAATTGAGTGGCTGGTCAAGGTGGAGGGTGGCAGCCCACTGCCACTGCCAGGTTGCTTTGGAGAGGTTTCGGCTCCTTGTCTCTGCTGCAGTTCCTGGGCAGTATCTGCTGCTACTTCAGTAATTAACAAAGGCTGTGGCAGTGCAAGCAGCTTGCCATGTCCCTTGAGAGCAGGGGACCTCTCCAATATCATGCCTTGCTCTGAGCTCTTGCAAGGATTTAAGTAATAATGACTATTTAGTAAAACTTAAATTTTTGCTACAGTGCAAGGCAAAGAGAAGGAGCACTCCAGAGTGTGCAGTGGTACAGATGACATGGCAAGTTTAGCTCCCCCAGAAACCTAGGGGGTAGTAATGAAGCAGCTGGGCTATGCGGAGCTCAGGGACAGGCGACTGGGAGTTCAAAATCATAGTTTCTCCAGGCGTCTCTTATCTGTAAATCTGTCCAAGAAATAAAGTCATTGGGCAAGAGGACTTGTGGGAATATCTACTGGAGAAGTTGGAGCCACTCAGTTGTACCAGGAACAGGCCAGCGGTTTGTTTCATCAGCTTGAAGTCAGAAATGCCAAATGGAAAAAACAGGTCCAAAGAAGGAGGGAAGGGGTGGAGATGGCAGATCTAAGTGCTTGCTCTGAATCACCCTCTGGCCTGACCAGCTTGCTTTTCTGTTTTCAAAAGAGCCAGCCTTTGGGCAACAAAGTAGAAATGGAAATTGCGAACATGTTGGAAAAAAACACCTCTCTGCTGAAGTTCGGGTACCATTTCACCCAGCAAGGTCCCCGGCTCCGCGCCTCCAATGCCATGATGAATAACAATGACCTAGGTGAGTTGGGCTGGCTGCAAGCCGGGGAGCACAGGAGGGTCCTGTGCGCAGTTCCTGGTGGGAGAAGGGCATAGCTGCTCACTTGAAGGCTCTGGTGGATGTGCTCAAATTAGAAACCACCTCCTGAAGGGTCTGATGATGCCTTGCCCCTCGAGGAGGAAAGCAGCCTTCACTGACTGGTTCCCTAACGCAGCTGCTGTGGGCCAGGCAATGGGCTGTGCTCCAAACCTAGAGACACTGGGCAGCTCCCAGAAGAGGCAGCATTTTGGGCAGCACCAGTGAGTCTTATTGGGAAGGAGCGAGAGCTGCTAATGTGCTTCAGTACGGCACGTGATACAGCATATGGCACATGGGTTGTGAGCTGCCAGCACTTGCGATGCCTGCCAACTGCTTGTCTTCCTCCAGCTTCTTTCCCACTTTAACAAGGAGATGAAAAGTAGTAGAGTTGAATTTGATGGCAGTGGGACTTGGCCCATCCCCTTCAGCAAAATGAATTGGAAGTGTTGCTAGGGAGAGGTGGGAAGCCACGTGGCTTTGAGCTATCTTTGTACCCTCAATGAAGTGATCAGAAGTGCTTGTGAAGCAAAATGTGGGCAAGTCTGCAAGCTGCTGTTTCAGCCAATGCATGCGGCAGAGGCTTTCCATTGCTCGGCTACAAGCTGCTGTAGAGCACAGGAAATCAGTCCAGCAGAGCAGCACTGAATGCAGCCAACGTTATCAGCCACACTGTCTCAACGGCTCCCGACTGCATAGGTAGGGTGGTTACAGGGCTGCGCCAAACCTCCTCCTCGGCAGTGGCAGACAATTGATCTGGGAAGAATAAGCAAAAGTTTGCAGATTGTCCTTTTTTGTACATTAGGAAGAACTCCTTCCCCGGGAGGGTGGGCGTTGCAAGACTTAGAGGGACAGAGCCAGTGACTGCCCTGACCCAGGGCTAGGCAGAGCCCTGCTGTGAGCGGGAGATGGGCTGGAGGACCCCACCACCGCTAGCACTGCTGTGTTCTGCAGACACATCTAGAAAGCAAGGGCTAACAGGCAGGGACTGAGAAAAGATCTAACGTGTAAATGCCAGCCGTGAAGAAATGGTGGAAAACTGGAACCGTGTATTTTAATCTGCATAACCACCACAGACAGAGTCTTCTGTCCCTTCATGACTCAACATAAGGTTTAAAAGCCACAAAAAACCAGCCTATTTATTCTGCCTGCGGCTGCACTTCTGGTCACTAGAGGGCTGTACCAGGAAAGGCTTGCTATTTGTCCTTTGGAACAGAGCAAGGGTTTTAATGACTGGGCAGCACCTGGCATACAAAGTAATCAGCTGGAAGATTTGGATCTAGTGTTTTCATTGTTCTTGCTGTAAGGGGAGGAATTAATAAATTGCTTTCCATGTAACAGTATTTTGCCTCTTTGACCATTAAGATCTGCATTTTTGTCTGATTTCGTTCTTTGCAGCTTGTATTCATCAGTGTGATGGTCTCTGGCAATAGCATCTCAGCTCCACACCTGGACAACATATAAGTATAGAAAAACTTTATTTTCCTCCCTGTCAGCAATAGCTCTCTGCTTGTGCTCCACTCCAGTGCTCTTGCCTACCTGATGCTACCAGAACTTTGTTTTGGTCTTATAGCTTCTTTTCTCTAAGATGTATGAACAAACTCTGAAGACTTTTACATTCATCCTCATGAACTAACTTCTGCATCCTCTTTGTACCTTTTTTTTTTCCTTTTTTCCTTGCAGCAAAATTCTTGAAAAGTCACGACAGCAGCTGTCAGAGCTGTAAATCAACTTTAAGAGTAGATATGAGACTGCTTTGACTATGTTAACCATGATCAGAGGGCTGGAGGCTAAAGGGTTAAGAAATGAGATAGTTTTAAAAATTTTTTTTTAGTCTTAAATGGCAATTTAGAAAAGCTAGCAAAGGAAAAACTGTGGCATCCATCTCCTGCTGTCTTTACATCAGTCAGCATCAGATGATGCTTTGGCCAAAGTCAGATTACTGAGAAGAACTGTGTGAAATATAATAGACTGTAGAATAAGGGAGGTAAGGCTGAAAGTAGCTTCTGGCCTTAAAAATTCATGCGGACAGAAACTGCATCTTACCCTCCTTGATTTTAAACTGCATAAGGCTGTGCCTGCTGCTTAAAGCAGGAATTCAGAAGCTGATGCTATCCTGTTTCTTTCCTGGCAGAAAGTATGTCTCTCAGCTCCTTTCCACAGCAGGTAAGCCAAGCCTGCCACCAACATCTTCTTGTTGCCATGACTGACTCCTCTTCCTCTTCTTTTTCAGTGAGAAAGAGAAGACTTGCGGAGTTGAATGGGCCTATTTTTCCCAAGTGCAGAACTGGAGTGTAGTTCCTGGCTACGGAGGTCATTCCCGGTGATCTGTGCTACACTGTGGAAATCTAAAGGCAATTAAGTGCCTTGACAGAGTATTTGTGGTGCCTCGGTTCTGTTTTATGCACTAACAATTTAAATTAACTAGTGGCTGTAGTTGAAGATTTTATCCAGTAGGACTGTTGATGTTTTCTGTAGAGTTGGAAACTATTCAAGCCAGTAACAACCTGCCAATTTTATGCAATCTCAGTTTAGAGTACATCCCAGTGTAAAAGTAACTCTTAATTAACCTGGGACCTAATTTTTCTATAAACTTCCTGCACGGTGTTTCATACAGTTAGAATGTGGTATGCACGAGTGAAAGATACAACTGTTCCACACAAATTATAGAAGTATTAAAAAAATACTTTATTTTTTTTCCCAAATTGATCTCAACTAAGTATAGAGGAGCAGCTAGTTTAACAAGCACTTCTACTACATGGAGACATGGCTAATTTCAGGAATCGTGAATTACAATTTTTTACCGACATCTGCTGAGTCAGTTAGTTGGAGATGCTATTTCAAATGCATCCCTGTGTTTCTTAGAAAAAAAATTGACCTCTACCCCAATTAAATGGAACTTAAGGCCACCAATTATAAAAGTCTCAAAAACTGAGCAGTTTAGGATGGGTTAATATCTTTCTATCCTATGCATATTTGAAGAAAACAGTCACCTTTAGAGATGTGATGCAAATCGTGATGCCAGAAATGGCCAAACTAATCAGTAAGCCACAGACATCTCTTCTGATCCCCACTCTCTTCAGTTTCCTAATATTAGAAGCATGTGTCCACATAGTCACTGGAAAAAAGTCAATTTCTCTCTCTCTTCCCTGTTTTGTCTAGATAACCATGTCCATGAATTACAATTTTGTTTTGGTAGGGATTGTTGCTTTTACTGCCATTCCTAATGTCTGCATAAATGCAACAATAAATACTGTGGCCTAGAAAAGCTGTTAAGTGAAATACCCCAACCCTGAACTTACACTGCATAGTCTCACAGCTTTCTGTCAGACCATCTGGGAAGAATTCCCCACAGCCTTGCACAGCTCCCAGACATGCAGTGGGTTAGACCCAGCACTATCCCATCCAAAACTCCTACTATTAACGTGGGTGAGATCCTGCTCAGTAGAAGAGTCTCCTGCAGAAGCATTGCCATACTGAAGCCTTGTTCTTGGTCTGATGACAACACATCCCAGAGAATGTTCTCACTTGTTAGAAATCTGTCTGTGCACATCTGTTAAGAGTGAGTTTTGCAGCATTTTACACATATTCCAGCAAAAAAGTCCTACAGATTTCTTCAGAGCTTGTGCACAAATACCACCCATGATTTAGCTCTGACCAACGAAGCAATGTGGGAAACGATTTGTTGCTCTCCAAATCTTAATAAATGTGCCAGTGGTGTCAAATAAAACACTTCACTATAGCTTCTTCTCCCCACTGCAAGTTCCATATTAGAAAATGAAAAGAATACAGAAAAGAAATACTTGAAAACATATTTAAAAACAAAAAAAAACCTGGTAGACAGCCTCCTTCTTCCATATGTACTGTGAAGACTTCAAAACAGTCAACTAAACTATCAAACCAGAGCCATACAGTTTCAGCTGAGCCATCCACTCAGATTTGCGTTGTACGGGCTCAGCTCTTCCATTGGCTTCAGAAGAGCATAAAGGAGTCTCATCTGGGAAGTCGTGACAGCACTAAGAAACCCAGATATGCAAGGAGCAGGGAGCACTACCGTGGACAGCATTTCCTCCCAAATGGAAAAAAAAAAGCCCTTAAAAAAAAAAAAAAAGGCAAGAACCTTGTCCTGTGTTTCACTGTAGCAGCATCCAAATTAACCATGCAGCCCAAATGTACAATAAGCTGGCAGGGTCACGCCAGGTTCCTCAGCTGAGCCTTACAGAGCTGTGTTGCTGAAGGATGCATGTGAGAGCCAAGAGCTGTGCGGGAGAGACAAGCTGTGCTGAGAAGCGTCAGGCTTTGTGGTAAAAGGCATCAAGCTGTGCAGCGATGGAGCTACAAAATGGTGGTACTTAGGAGCAAATGCATCACTGTTTATCTCTGCAGCTCTCCAGGAAAAGGGAAAAAAGCCATCTGCTGACTGCAGCATCTGGCAGTCACAGCCAATCCTGCTTAACTCTAACGTCTCCTGGAGCTAACGAGCCTTCTCTCAGGCACTGCCACTGAGGTGCCTGGATCCCACCACACAGCGTTTCACATGGCAAGTCCTTGTTTCTGTTAATTTGACAAAACGAATGCAGAACCAGGATACATCTGCGCACGGGCTAACTTGCAAGAGGGACGCTAAGGATGTCTCTTACCTCCCTCTCCCCTCTCTGCAGCAGACGGAACCTGGCCTTATGGGCCTCCATCTGTACATCTCAAACTCTTCTCCTCCCTTGCCTTAGTGCAGCAAGGACCAGAAGAAGCCCCATGGCTCCCCTCTCCCTTTGAGGTAGAATCTCCAGCTGCCAGGAGCTCTCGGGAGAATTGTACCTTGTAGCCAGGTCTACCACATGGCAGACAGCTAGCTAGGTTTCAGGATTTACCTCTGCAGAATTAAGCACCTTCAACATAACAGGTGAAGTATATTTGTGCAGTACTTTAAAAACTACAATGGAAGCACTAAAGGTTATTTATGAGCATAGGAGTTTCAGAAGTTTACATATAAAATATATTGTTGCCATTCTGTACTGGTAAGTGATATAGAAACAGCCTTCCAAATAGATTACAGTGTTCCAGACTTGCTGATAGACTGAATTATAAAATTGTGGGTTTTTTAGCCTAATACATGAAGAAAAGAGAGTATAATGTGCAAGTTGGGGCACTCCCATCAGTGCTCTAGACCAGGCCTGCAAGTAGAGCTTGCATATTTTTCCACAAATATTCCCATCCTCAAAAGCACAGAGGTTAATGGCCAGCAAAGCTTGGCATGCAAGATGCCAGAGGACCATGGGTACTGCTTAGACTTCTGCTGAAGATGTCTACTGATGGGAATTTTCCAGTTTCTTCTCCAGTATGGATTGTGCAGATTTACTATTAAATGCCATCCCAGAATGATTTCCAAAGGAGGAATTAGTAAGTTTCAAAGTTTTGCTTCAGGAAAGGAACAATCACAAAGACAGTGGCTGAACTGTTGATTTCACAGTAGCAATACTGGAAGTAAGAAGAAATGCTTGCCATGACTAATGGAACCAATGTTCATGTCTGAGTTGCTAGTCAAGCCAACAATGAGGCCTTGCTGAATTCATAGCACTGTGGGAGAAAGTTACCATCTGTATGAAAGTAACATTGCCCTAACTGCGGAAACCTGAGTAAATTGTTTTCTTCCTTTTAAAAGCAGTTGCCAGTAAAAAAAAAACCCCAACTAGTAAGTGATTTTAATTTCCTAATGACTAACTACTATTCAGTACCAAGAATGTAAGTTTCAAAGACATTTTTCAGTCAAGACACATCTACACTATTAATAAAACCTTCCTGTACATTCTACAGCATCGGGCACACAAAGCAGCAGATGAAGAAGTACTTTGAGCTCATATGCTGTGGATCCTTTCAAATTCAAAGACAATTTCTCCACTGATAGGAGCTGGAAATCACATAAACATCTCACAACTTTGGAAAACTCAACCTGTGTTTACAAAGCACAAATGTTCCCGAAATCTTTAATTATTTAACTTGGATAAAGAATCTTGCAATCTCCTTATAGCTGTTGCTGACATCGAGGCACATGTCAGCATCACTTCCTGTGCCATAATGCTGGTTATTTTCATAGAATCATAGAATGCATTGGGC